ACACGACTCAAGTTACATTAATTATTAATTTTCTCTGTGTTTGCTTCTAATGTTGCAGCAATCCATTGCAATTTAGTTTTACCAACATCAAAGTGGTCATGTATTCATCATGTTGTTTGTTGGTTTGTTTGTTTACAACATTGTTACCATAACCCAATAAAATGTGGGGTGGATCCAGATCAGGGGGCAGATCCAGGGATTTTCCCCCCACTTTCTTTAATATTGTGAGATAGAGTTGATTTCTTCTTCTTTCTTTTTAGAGGACTGATATTTTTGAGTGTGTGCAACTACTAGAGATGGAAATAAAAATTATCATCTCGTGAATTCAAATGTGGTTTCTTAAGGGGCCTGTTGGGCCTTGGCGGAGGTGCTCACTCTACTCAGTGACATTTTAGTTTCTATTGTAGTAATAACATTTCTTATTGCCATTGTTTATACCAAATGATGATGAATGATTCCTTATCCTGCACAAGCTGCAGACCATGTCTCTCATGCTACTGGTTGCAAGTTCAATGCATTAGTTCACTATGTGATGTAATTTATTGACTTCATATTGTGTGTGGTGACATCATTCCTACCATATAAATAAATACTCAGTTTGATGTAAGCTTTAGGTCATGTCTGTATTTCTTTAGGATGCAGCCATACTTCCAAAAATGTATTTTTGAACTTGGCACAATATTAATTTCTGACTCCTTGATAATTATGATAAGTTATTATATGATGAAGCATATATTTCTGATCAATAAAATCTTAGGATGTCTCTCTAATATTTGCAAAGATATTTTTGGAACATATATGTTTTGGGCCATATTTTTGTTGACCCTGATCTTGTTCTTCAAAAGTTAGTCATGTGGAGATACCCTCTCAAGTAAAACTCCTCCTAAATTTGGTTGGAATCTGTCCAAACATCCAGTCAATTGTACCAGGTTTACTTATCTTATGATTACTGAGATTCAGTAATTGTTGTTGGATCTCAGAGACAGCCGAATCATTTAGTTTGCATTTCAGTAAGCCATCTTTGGTTTCATGGTAGAAAACAGTGACCTGCAACACAATGTTTCTGTCATCAGTCCTTGTTTTCCCACACAGTGAGGACTTGGCCTCAATTCCATGGAACATTTTCACCAGAATGACCGGTTTGTCAGCTGTGGAAAGACAGGGACATATATAATATAGTTTATGCACACAGACATTTATATTTCTTTGAATTCAGAATAAAAAGACTGTTACTAATTTATGAATACACTCACAACTTAATGTTGATCATGTACACCTCACATTTCAAACAAATTATACTCAGCTTCTTGTTCAAATGAATTTGGCTGCTCCCTTACCTGGGATGACTGGTTTAATCATCACTGCATTGATGTCTGACTCAATTCGTGAAGTGATTGGACAGAAGACAATAGTAATCTGGCTTTCCTGAGAGTCTTCCACAAACTTTCCGCCGCAGTTGCCATCATTCACTTGCTTCATCAGCTGTTCATGGGCACCAAAGGTTTTACCTCCGACAACCATCATGTACTTCACTCTGGCTGTAGGAAAAAAATAAATTTTTAGCAGCCGACACATGTACAATTACAAGAAATAGAGTGATCTTGCTATGASAGAAGTATAAACAACCCTAAATATAAGCTTCCATTTT